GAACCGGCCTTACTATACTACTCATAGGGGCAGAAATTGATCGGGGGGTGTTTCAAGAGTGTGTAAAAAAAGTTTCAGATTTAAAAAAAATTTCTCACCACTAAAATCATTGAATTTTTGGCGGGCACGAAAATAGACGTATTTGACGAGACTTTTTTTCTGTGGGTCGTTGGAAAATTAGATCCTCGTTCATAGGGGTAGAAATCGATAGGGGGGTGTTTCGAGAGTGTGTCAAAAAAGTTTCAAATTCTTAAAAAATTTCTCACCCCCAAAATCATTGAATTTTTGGGAAGCCCGAAAATAGACGTGTTTGACGAGACTTTTTTTTTCTCTGGGTCCTTGAAAAATTAGATCATCGTTCATAGGGGTAGAAATCGATCGGGAGGTGCTTCGAGAGTGTGTAAAAAAAAATTAAGATTTTTTAAAAATTTCTCTCACCCCCAAAATCATAGAATTTTTGAGACGCACGAAAACGTACATAGTTGACGACTTTTTTTTTCTCTGGGTCGTTGAAAAATTAGATCACCGTTCATAGGGGTAAAAATCAATCGGGGGTATTTCGAGAGTGTGTAAAAAAAGTTTCAGATTTTTAAAAAATTTCCCCGGTAGTAAAATAGTGAATTTTGGATTAAGTGAGGTTAAGCTCGTTTCTATATGCCAAAATACATTTAGCTCAATAAAAAAAATTAGATCGTTAACTATTCCTGTTGAATAAAATTAAGCATGTTTGAAAAAAATTTTAAATGCGTATTGTATTTTTAAAAAATTTCCAAATTCTGGATGATTTGGTGGACAGTCCCACCCAAAAGTTTACATTTTCAAATTTGGAGGATGGGAGGCTAGTCTCACCATCATGTTGAGGTGCTTCTTGCGAAAAAGATAAATAATGAGATTCACCTGGAATTCATTTATAATCACAACTGAATTATCTATGAATTTTCTTACAATTTTTTCAGACTTCCTTTTCATGATATTAACGATTGAAGTCGCTTCTTATACATAGGCCCTGATGAAGATTTTTCAGTTTAGCACGAATCTGCGTTACTACCTGAGCTGATAATATAATTTCCTGATAAACAGAAAAATCTCCATCAGGGCCTATGTATAAGCAGCGACTTAAATCGTTAATAACTTGAAAAGGAAATCTGAAAAAAATCAAAAAAAATTCATAGATAATTCAATTGTGATTATAAAAATTTTATATGAATTGCAGATGAATGTCATTATTTACCTTTTTCGCAAGAAACACTTTTAGCTAAGTTGTCATCACAGATGGCTAACATTCATTCATTGTTCATATTGCTTTTAAGAGTGATAATTGTTTGGAAATAATCAAAGTTCTGATTGGCTGTGGATAAGGAATTGAAAGGTTATATGATATTGTCTTTACATTTTATTATAGTTCAAAGGATTGTATCATGAATCGATTCAGCATTGAATTCCTCTTCATTCATTATTTCCATTGTTAAGGACATGATATTCCGCCGGACGAAAATGAAGATATTTTTTCTAAAAATAAATATGTAAAATTTTCTCATATTTATATACTGGCGAACGGGTGCTTCGCGCGCCTCGCTAGATTAGTTTATACTGTTTTATTTTAATTTATTTTCTTTCCATTTCCATCTTGAGAATTGGATTAATTTAACTTTATCCATTTTTATTTTTATTGCATATATTTTTTTCCCTTAATTCACGAGTTACAACATTGAATGAAGAGGAAATATGTTAAAGATCAATAAAATATATTTTTTGTGATTAAAACAAAGACACAAAACAAAAGTCATTCGAAATCTCATTCGGGTAATCGTAAAATTTCTCCATGTATTCCTATTTTTAAAATCTATTTTTCCCTTCATATATTAAAAGGATATCGGTACCTCTCATTGCTTTGGTCGGATTTCAATTATTATTATGAAAAGGAAATGAAAAAAAAATCATAAAGGAATAATCGGCTAGAAAATTGATTTTTTTAAGTGGTAGGAATCAAGGGAAAATTGGAGCAAAGAATAACAATGCTGGTTAAATTGTCCCTTGATTTCTACCACTTACATTAACACCATGGAGCTTAACACTATTGATTGATTTTTTTCTTTTTTTACGTCCCCAGGTAAGAATTACATAGGCTGATGATGAGAACAAGCCTGTATGAGCCCAGGGTTGGCGAGGCTCAGTTATTCAGTGCTGGGATAGGCTTGGTTTCATTGTTCACTTGAACTTCAAATGAGGATGATTAAAGGGGCGAGGCTCAATTCAGGCCTAGTCCAGGCTTTCAGTATTCAGGCTCAGTACGTCAAGGCTTATTCAGGGCTCAGCAAGGCCTCGAAAATTAAAGTTACTTTCGATTAATTTCCTCAATTTTTATATCAAATACTCATTAGCTAATGGTGGTGAAAACATTATCATCATCTACAAACATAGCTATAACTTTTCGCCAAGTTATCTAAGCTACCCCCAGACCAGGCCTAGAGCAGCCCTTTGTGCACGAGGCTACATAATTATTATTATCTTTATCTATAATTGATTAATCAATCGATTCTGAAATCGTAAATCCATCGGACCTATCATTTATTGCACGATCAAACGAACTTACCTGTAAGTGAAGTTCGATCGTGATTATGTGAAGAGCCTCGTCGAGATATTTTAATAACTTGTAGTAGTCCGCCTGCGGCTAGATGGAGCCACACGCCTTCAGAGACCATAGAAAAAGTTGACTGTGGCACCTCGGCGTTGAGGGCTCGTCATCTTATCATTAGTTTAAAGTTAAGCAATAGTGTAGAAAAATTTGGACGGGCTTGGGAAAGCTAGTTGGGAGGGACTGAATCTCTCGACGAGGCTCTTCATATAATCACGATCGAACTTCACTTACAGGTAAGTTCGTTTGATCGTACAATTATATTCGAGCCTCGTCTTCGAGATTTTAATAACTTGTAGATGTTCAGAGATCATCCAATTTTTTCTTTTTGTTTTTTTTTTATCAAAATCCCAGATTTAATATGAATATGAATATTAAAGATTTTAAAGATGAATGTTAATGGACAAAAAGAATGGTTATTAACTAAACCATATTCAATAGAACTTTGACAAAAAAGCTTTGATCAACGACAATTATAGAAATGTACAAATCGTACTTCTAAACCTTTCGAGACTTACTCGTTTTCTCACAGCAGCTGGAGTTGCTGTAATGTAAGTTGACAATTAGCTGTATCGACTTCAAGATGGCTATAGGACAATATAATCCATTAGGCCAGTGTTTATGGAGATTCGCAGCTATAAAACTCTCTGAATGTAACGAACAGTATAAAGATGTTATATTTAAAATCTCAACATACTACAGAAGGCTACCTTGGCTGCGCAAAAATGACGCCTTTCAAAGCGGAAAAGGGGAAACAGGCTGTGGATCGCCTGGGCGAGAAGATTGTCACCTGTCTGGTATCGTGAAATCCAGATTTGACGCACCTTTGACACTGTTCTCAAGTTCAATGGCAGAAAACGTGTGTAGTCTCTGCGAAATACTCAAGGTCGAGAGAAAGACAGATTTTCATTAAGATGAAGAATTGACAGATTTGCCTTGAGTGGGAAAGACCTGGGTGGTAGGTCAGAATACACTCAAGATACTAGATGTGAGTGCATTGTGATTTACCAGGACGTAGTTTGAAAATTTTTTGAACCTTTGGAATGTTGAATTTTGTCCCACTGTTTCTTGATTTGGTGGAGTTTACTGTTTCATACGCTGTTCCTTATTTGAACTCTGCCATTAAAAATGTGCAGGGTAATCGAACTAGATGNGAGTGGGAAAGACCTGGGTGGTAGGTCAGAATACACTCAAGATACTAGATGTGAGTGCATTGTGATTTACCAGGACGTAGTTTGAAAATTTTTGAACCTCCGGAATGTTGAATTTTTTTTTCCACTGTTTCTTGATTTGGTGGTGTTACGTCTGGAGACGTATCGCATTTTTATTGAAATGAAAGAAAAATTGATAATGATTGAAAAATAATGGAATGAGAAAATGATGAATAAT